ACCGACAAACATATACTGGATTGTATAAGCCTATTTACGTGTTTCTTTATAAAAAAAAAAAATTCAAATTATTAAGTTTAAATCAATTCGTGGTAATATTAAAACACTTTATAAAATAATTTTGCAATCGACTAAAATTTGTCGTTTTTTTTTTATTCATTTTATCTAAATATTAAAACGTGACGATTAATAATAATAATAACAATAACAATAATAATAATAATAATAATAATAATAATTCTACCACGATGAAAACGTTAACTAACGTTAACTTTTGTCGAAACATGTCAAATCTTTAATCAGATTTGTAATTATTATTATTATTAATTATTTTTTTTTCTTTCTTTCCTCTTTTTTTTTAATTTTAAAATATTTTAATGTTAAATAAATAAAAAAAAAATTTTTTTAATTAAATTAAATTAAAATTTTCTGTGTTTTCCACTTTTTCAAATCCTGTCGTAATTTTTTTTTTTTTTGTTTGTTATGTCGCGACGACAGAATCGATTTTATTTTAACTCAAAGGTTCGATTGCACTTTTTTTAAAAATATTTAAATAAAATTTATTTCAAAGTCCTTTTTTCGATCGAACAGGTATATTATATATACAGGTATATTATTAAATAAAAATAAAAATTCTCATACATTTTCTTAAACTATTATTTAAACAAGGCAACCATCACAACAACAACCACGACTAGATTCTTGTACGATTTAAATTCAATTTAACCGATTTGCGAAAAAAAAATAAGAAGAAACAATTTTCTTCTGGTTTTAATAAATTAATAAAATTATTAATAAATAAAATTTTTTTTTTTTAACGGTCAATTAAACGCCTTCCATTATTTATTATTATTATTTAACATTTGGAAAAAGGAAAATTTTTTTAAAATAAAATTTTCATATAAAAATATATATATATATATATATATATATATATATATATATATATATATATATATATATATGGAATAAGTTTAAATTAAATTATAGACAAAACCGGCCAAAAAACAAAAAAAACGGCCCTAAAACAAAAAAAAAAAAATAATAATAATTATTAAGAATTAACAGAGATTTATGATTTCCAATTGAAAACAATTTGGCGACGCCTTTGTCTAAATGGCGACAAATTGGCTACAATGTTGGAAAAGATTTTTCTCTCTAATTTTTTCTATTACTCATGTATAAAAAAATATAAAATATCTACTGCTTGAGGTAGTAGTTGTAATAATAATAATAACTGTTCAGAACGTAAATAGAATAGAAAAATGACAATAAAAAAAAAATTTTTTTTCCAAAATTCAATAAACCATGAGAAAATAAATGAGAAAATGATAATAAAAAAACTCGCCGTTTTCTCGTAACGGAAAATAATAATAATAATAATAATAGACATTTTTCATTGACGTGTAAGGTAAAAAAAAAAAAAAAATTCATTTTTTCCATTTTTCCCTTTTTTTACTCACTTAAAAGTTATTATAATTATTACAAAAATGTTTTTTCAAGTCATGACAAGTAATGGAAATCATAATTTATTAATTTGCGATTCGAAAAATAATAATAATAATGATAATCGTTTTATGTAATACAAAAATTGACGGTTATTTTTCGAATCGATCGACATATATAATTAATTCAAATATTTGTTTAATTAATCGATAAATAATTAATCGAGTATTAATGATGATAATAATAATTACCTATTAAAATTATAGAAGAATGTTTAACGACATTTTTCCAAATAAAAAACATTATTTGAATTTAAAAAAAAAAAAAAAAATTATATATATATATAAAATAATACACTTAAATGTTTCACAAATAACAAACGGATACACTCTTAAATATTTTGTAGTTAATCCAAAAAAAACACAAATTTTCAATTAATTGCGAGAGATTATTTTTAAATAATTTACAAATTATAATTTTTTTTTATTTAACCGAAAAAAAAAAAATTTTGGGGACCGCCACACCTCAAACGGAATTATTCACATGACTGAAACGTTTTTTTTTTTTTTGAAATTGAAGGACGGCGAGAGATAAGAGAAAAACTTTGCACTTGTTTTTTTCTCTATCCCGACAGTGTAGAAATATAAATAAATACGAATTCCACAAAAAAAAAAAAAAAAATTAAGTTGGCAGTTCTGATTTAAACAAAAAAAAAAAAAACTTAATTGTTGAAAATCGAAACGAAACAAAACGAATAAAAAACGAAGGCGGGCGGAGTAATAAAACGTTTTTTTTTTGCGTGTGTGATTTATTATTATTATTTTAAAGGGTTATCTATTTATTTTAACTTTTTTTTTTTTTTTTTTTTTTTAATTTCAATGTTAATCGTTTTTTAAAATGTCGGCATTTGCATAATAATAATAATAATAATAATTTTTTAAAAATAAAAAAATTTTTTTCTTTTTACATTTAATTCGTATCAAAATTTTGTTTTGTTTTTTTGTCGGTTTGAAATTGATAAAAAAAAAAAAAATTAGCAGAAGACAAAAAGTGGGAGGAGACAATTTTTGAATCTTATTTATCTTGATTTATTTTATGTGTTGCGTAGATTATTAATTACATCGTTTTTTTTTTCTTTTTAATCGAACGGAATTTAACCTTATTTGTTAAAAATATTTAAAAGATGGTTATTTTATTGAAACGATAATTAACGAACGTGGAATTATTAAACAGGTAAATTTTAATTAAATAATCAAAACACGAATTTTTTTTTTTCGTTTAATTAACCAAGCAAAGCAAACACACGCGGCGTCGGTTAAAATCGTTAAAAGAAAATTCGAATCAATTTTTTTTCCTATTTTTATTTCGAACGGATAAATTTATTATTTTATATACAAAAAAAAAACCGCAAAATACGAGAAAAAAACAAATCAATTCATTTTATCCGATCGTCGACTCCGTTAAACTGGACTTAAAAACGTTTTTTTTTTTTTTTTTTTTTTACTCGCGAATCGAACACTTTTAAATTTTGAATTCTAATCAAAGATGGCGGTTAACGTTTCGCGACAAAATTTTATTTGTTATTTCGTTTTCGTTTTTGCGTATACAATTATAATTTATCATTAAATTATCGTTATTTATTAGTCAAATTTACATTAAAAATACAAAATTTTTTAGTTTTTACGTTTAATTACGTTTGATTAACGGTAAAATTACAAAAAAAAACATATACGCGTTTCACTATATACAATCAAAATAACCGTCACTTACAAAAATTTTAAAAATAATTACACAACTATAACCATTAGACGATTAAAAATAATGAAAAAAAAAAAAATGTTTTCGTGACAAATCGTGAGAACGACATTACAAAACAAAAATAAAAACAAAATTATTATTTTTTTCAATTTAAAATAAAACAAATTTTTGTTTGTTTGTTTGTTTGCAAATAAATATCTCGCCAATGGTTCTTGAAATTAATGCCATTGACCGTCAGTTTTTTTTATTTTTATTTTTAGTCGTTTTTTGCGTTTAAAACAAAAAAATTTTTTTTTTATTTTAATACGTTAACCACACGAAATTACATTAAAATCCCTTTTTTTTAAAATTTATTTTACGGCGGTTTTTATAAAAAAAAAAAAAAAAAAAAAAATTAATTTAACTTACCTTTGCAAAAAAAAAAAAAATGTCTATTGTTCTGGAAAAGTTTCCAATCGAAAATCAAACAAACAAAAAAACAAAAACAATGCAAAAAAAAAAAAAAATTAATAAACGTGTGTGTAGGAAACAAAGTGGTAAAAACAACTAAACCTAAAATTATTTTTTATTACTAATAATAATAATAATAATAATAATAATAATAATAATAATATCTAAAAATAATTTTAAGAAAACTTTTCAATACTTGGAATTTTTATTAACGTATAAAAATCCAATTAATTCAATGTACAAAAAAAAAAAAAATTTTATATTTTTTTAATAATTATTTAAACAACCGAAATGAATTGATTGCTGGTAAAAAAAAATGTATAACGGAAATTATGTACATAATTAATTAATTAATTAATTAAGAAAATTAAAGAAAACAGGTTGGAAAACAAAAATAAAAAATTTTTGGTTTCTATTACTGGAAAGTTTTAAATGAAATTTTTTTTTTGTATACGTTTAGGTGTTTGTTTTCCATCTTTTTTTTTTCGTTTGTCGTTTGTCGTTTTGAATCGATTCGAAAAAATAACAAACGGTGAATGACAAATGGGTTTTAATATTATTTTTTAACGACAAGGTTAAAGGAAATGAAGAAGAAAAAAAAATTTTTTTTTTTTTACTAACGTTTAATGAACTCAACCGTGTTAAAATCATTTATTTAATTTGTTTCATTTATTTAAAAAAAGGTAAATTTTAAACAAACGACATTTTTTTAACGTAAAAATAAAAGAAAATTTTTTTTTTTTTTGTTTAATTACGTAAGAATGTAAATAATCATTTTTTTTTATTGTGACCTTATTATTATTATTATTATTTATTTCATTCGATATCTGGGCCAAATAATATATTTTTATACATATAATTAAGTAATCGTTTTTAATTAGAACGTTTATTTAATCGATATTATTTTTATTATTTAGTAAATCGATTTTATTTTTGTATCATTGAAAACGACCCGGGAAAAAAAATTCCGCGAATAATAATAATAATAATAATAATAATAATAATTATAACATTACCTTGTTTTTTCCGCCGAATCTCCATGAATTTTTTCCTACACTTTTTCCCCCAAATTTTTCGTTTTAATTCATTTAAATAAAAAATTGATTTAAAAAATAATAATAATAATAATTTGTGATAGTAAATGACGTAAACACGTGATAGCGCGATAATGATGATGATTTAATCGCGTACGTAAACATTCAAATTCTTATTTAAAAAAAAAAAAAAATGTATAAATTTTAAAATTATTGACTTACCCGAATTTTTACCTAATGTTCTTATTACCTATTGTTCTATTTTGACCTATTGTTCTTATTATTATTATTATTATTATTATTATTATCGTCAACGATTTAAATTAAAAATATGAAAACATTTTTACGAAAATTCACAGTAATAATAATAATAAATTTTCCACAATCGTTTATTTCTTCGAGCGCGACAAATTTTTTCCTTTCAAGGGCATATAAGCAGACGATGCCTTGAACAATTATTATAAATACATACCTGAAGTTAGTTGTTTGTCATCAGTTGATCGTCGGAACCTCCGACGCGTTTCCATTATTATTATTATTATTATTATTATTATTAATATTTTTCCGTTTAAATCCTTGCGAAAATTCATACACCCATAAATAAATCGAGGCATTTAAATTATTATTTAAACGAAATTATTATTATTATTGTTGTTTTTTTTTTTTTTCATATACATAATTTTATTTATTTATTTATTAATATTTGTACAAAGCTATTCCTTGACCTTAATTAAACAAAATACAAAAAATTAAAACAAAATGAAAAATTTTATTAAATATATATATTTATATATATATATATATTTAAATTATTGCACAATTATCACAAAAAAAATAAATAATAATGATGGTTCTTATCATTAAAAAAAAAAAAACTAATAATAATAATAATAATAATAATAATAATAATAATAATAATAATAATAATAATAATAATAATAATAATAATAAAATGGAACAAGAAAAACGATTTTTTTAATAAGCAAATTATTATTATTATTTTTTTATTTATTTATTTATTATTTTCTAATTTTTGCTACCAATCAATCAACCGATTATTATTATTATTCACATCACATCAGGTTCATTTATATTTAATTTTTTTTTTTGTAATTTGAAAAATAAACATGATAACATAAATTTCAATTAATATCGATAATAATAATAATAATAATAATAATAATAATAATAATAATAATAATAAAATTTTTTTTAAAAATAAAAATCGAATTGTAACGAATGCCTCCGTTTTTCTTTTTTTATATTTTGGTAGCTCCAAAAAAATTTATTTTATTTTTTTTCAATTTTGGCACATGAGTTTTTAATAAAAAAAATATTATTATTATTATTATTTTCTCACCGCGACATGAGTAAATTTAATAATAATAATAATAATATAACTTAAACAAAAAATGGTATCGATACATATATATATAATTTTTTTTTTTAACATAAAATTTACACCTGTCATTATTTTATAATTAAACAATAGAAAAAAAAATTATTATTATTATTATTAACATTAAATAATTAATAATAATAATAATAATAATAATAATAATAATAATAATAATAATCGAATTAAATGATTTGGTAATGGCAGATTTAAATAAAACAAAAGTAATTAAAGAAAAATTTTTTTTTGAAAATGGAAGACATTATTTTGTTTAAAAAAAAAAAAATTTTAAAGTGAAGGAAAAGAAGAGTTCCAACATTTTTATTCTTTCGAATGACATAATTATATATATATTATTATAATATAATATTTATATTATTTTTTATTTTTTGTTTTATTTTTTGCCGACGTGAAAATGTTCAATTGTTGAAAATAATAAAATTTTTTTACGACTTTACATAAATCGTTAAAAAAAATAAATAAATAAATAAAATGCCGCATCGGAATGAAAATAAATAAAAATAAAAAAAAAACTATTAATAATAATAATAATAATAATAATAAATTTAAAAAGTTATGTATTGAAATTATTATTACGGTGAAAAAAAAAACGGTTTTTAAAAAATTATTATTTTTTTTTTTTTAACGGGAAGACAAAAATGGCACAAGTTAAATATTATAACAAAAAGCCTTCAGTTATTGGCACCCATTTTTCTGTTTTTTTTTTTTTTTTCTTAAATAAAACCCGGAAAATTTAAACGAAAAAATATTTATTATTATTATTATTATTATTATTTAATAAATTTATTTTTATTTTCTTTTCCTTCACCAATCAATCAGCAAAAACCGGAAACAAAAAAATTTAAAAAATAATTTGTTATAATTCGTTTGTTTTTGTTATTAACAAATTAAAAAAAAAAAAAAACGTTTTAATATTAAAAACCGTTACAAAAAAATCAATCAATATATATGTTATCAATAATGCTTTTGTGATAGAGGCATCGTATACATCATAGTTGAACAAATAATTATTTTAATAAACAAATTAATAATAATAATAATAATTTTCGCGATATTACCTGCCATTACCGTCCATTTAAAAAAATAAAAAAACCAAATAGAAACAATACAATGTTATAAACAAATAAAAAAGAAGAAAAAACAAAATAGAAATAAATAACTTTACAAAATTTTCACATAAGAAAATTTTAATACTAATAATAATAATAATAATAATAATAATAATAATAATAATAATAATAATAATAATAATAATAATAATAATGTACACAAAAAGGAAGCATTCTATATATATATAAATTTATGTATATATAAACATAGTCTTATTTATTTTATTTTCCCTGGTGTGTTGTTTTTATTTATTAACAAATAAAAAATAAAAATAAAAAATAAATAAATAAATAAAACAATTTAAATAATAATTAAAAAACAAAACGAAACAAACAAAAAAAAAATATATATATATATATATATTTGTAACAATTGGTTTGTATACCCGTTCGCTATTAATAAAAATTATTATTATTATTATTATTATTATTATTATTATTAATTTTTATTTTTTTAATTATTTTTAATATTTTTCACATTTTTCATTTTATTTTTACCTCCTAGGTCTAAAAATTATTATTATTATTATTATTTTGTATTTTCCTTAATAAAAAGTTAATTATTAATAATAATAATAATTATAATTAATTAATTAATTATTTATTTATTTATAATAATAATAATAATTGTATTGATAACGTGTTTTCTTTTATAAAAATTACAAATTTCTCATGCTTTACATTATTTATTTATTTATTTATTAATTTAAATTTTAAGAAAATGTTTATTTGTTTGTTTGTTTGTTTGTGTGTGTGAGTTTGTTGTGTTTGTACGATGAGGAAACGAAACAACGCGCGAATAGAAAATCAAAAAAAAAAAAAAAAAAAAATGAGGAGATTTTATGATGAAGTTTTTTTTAAACATAAATTAAGATGAAATTTTATTATTATCATCATCGAAAATATTTAAAAATTTAAATTTAAGTTATTATTATTATTATTTTAATAAAACGCGAAAACTTATTATTATCATCACGTTTCCATTTTTTTTTTTTTTTTTTTTTTGCTAAAGGCAAAATCATTTTTTCTTTGGTTTCAATATTTAATAAAACAAACAAACAAATAATTAAACTTATAAAAAAAAAAATATATATATATATATATATATATATATATATATATATATATATATATAAATATATGTATGTATTAATATTTTGTACTTTTTTCATTTTGTTTGTTTTTTTCCCGCCTTTTTGCTAACATTTAATTTTTACTAAGTTTACAATATTTAATAAAAAAAAAAAATTCCTATATAAATTATTTTTGTATTTTTTTAATTACAAGTAATAATTAATTATAAATAAATAATTATGATGTCGTGTGTGTGTATGTGTGTATGTTCTTATATATATATTTTTTGTTTTGTGTCTTTTTTCTACGTTATACCAACTCACACAAATAACATTATACTCATTATCATTATCATTATCATTATTCAAAAAACACAAAAAATTTTTGAATTCAGTCTTTCACTGTTGAATTATTTATTTATTTATATAATAGCTATGAGAAAAAAGTATTTTTTTCTTTTACTACAATTTGATTTTTTTTGTACAAAACAATTATATGTTATCAGGCTAACATTTTTTTAATAATAATTATTATTATTATTAGTTTTATTTATGTATTATTATTATTAATATTACTTTTTTTTTTTTTTTGCTTTTTGTTTTTTTTTGTTTTTTACGAACTTATAATTAACGTTATCAAGAATTGTTCAAAATTGTTACCCTGTCAGTCTCTGGCTTGTCTAAAAACTCAGTACACTACAGCGGTCCCGGCGGGAACTGTGGTGGAAGCCCGCATCAAAAACTCCCAAAACCTATATCCATGCGCTCTTGTTTGATTCGATCTAGTACGTGATTGGCCAGATAGGGTTGCGGATACGATGAATTCGAATACGGTCCGTAGGGTGGATAATTTGGACTAGGAACGTGGAGAGCGTGCGGAGAGTAGGGGAAAGACGTGGGACCGCCCGGATATTGACTCGGATACTGATAATTTGGAGTCATGTTCATGCCGGTTGGAAAAAGGCCGGGCTGGGGTACGACGAGATGCGGAGCGCCCATTAAATTCGGGTAACCGCCGGCCGTGTAGTTGGAAGCCAAACTACTGACCGAAAATGAACTTGCCACTTGAGGTTCGTGGCCGTGTGACGCGCTGTTTGCCAGAGAACTCACGGAAAAACTACTCTGGGAGGGAGGCAAATACCCAGCCGTCGAATAATTTGTACTGGATGTGTAATGTGGATAAGCAGACTGAGGCGTCGGAGCTGCCGGAGCCGTGCTGTACCCTGGATATCCGAGGTAGTCTTCGTATTGACCAGAATGCTGAGACTCAAAGCCTTCGGTATTAGTGCCAGAAACTGAATTCCCGGAACCGCCTTCCGCGATGCTGGGAATTTGATCCACTAACGATTCCAATCCTGATAAGCTCTTCGAAGAAACGTCTTGATTTGCACGTTTTGAAGCGAATTCAGGAGAAGATTGACGCTGAAACTGAGAATTCGCATTTTTGTGTTCAATGTTCGCTTCAGAAAAAGCTCGATACTGATAAGGAGCAGGCTCTGAAGGCGCAGGAGAAGAAAATCTACACTCCGGTTCCGGTTCTTCTTTGACGGACATCGTAGCTGTGTCTTCGGGCATACTCGTGGGAGGTTCGAAATCTGGAGGTCCCAGACTGGGAGAGGTAGGCGGCGGAGATCCTAAATGCTCTGAAGAAATGGCAGCTGAAATTTCCGAACTGAGATCCGAATGAGTGAACGGTTGGGACTGAGATTGTGAAGCCGGTGGAGGCGACTGAGAATACTGAGTAGGTAACGGAGAAGGATGATGTGGAGATGGATGATACGCGGGCGACGGTGCCCTGGGATTAAACTGAGAAGAAACGGGATTTTGATTCTGGGAAGCATAAGCGGGAGAAAATCCGGGGCAAAAACCCGAAGGAGATTGAATCGGAGGCGAAAAGCAAGTAGATGCCGGATTGGAAGAACTAGTATGTTCGGACACATTCAAACTTCCGTTTTGAATGCTCACGTTTTGTGGTAGCATTCTACGCTCCGCTCCTATTCCTCCATTTTCCGATTTGATTTTTTTCGGTCTCCCTCTTTTTTTCTTCGGTATATCACCGTCAACGGGAAGTTTTTCCTTTTTAATCCTTTCCTTCGGCGGCGGAACTTCAACTCCGTTTATTTTTATTTTTTTAGGTCGGCCCCGTTTCTTTTTTTCCGGTCTACCCGGATCGTAAGGCTCCTTTTTGACAACCGCATTGCTGAGATCCGTGAGATCGTTATTCGCCAAACGTGAATACGAATAATAACTTCCCTGATCATCTTTGCTTTCCACATTAATATCAGATTCGTAAAATGTTTTCAATTTTTGATCATTAAAAACAACTTCGTTTTCATCCAATTCCGCAATCAAACCATTTAAATAATCGCGAAATTTTTTCAATGCGGCATAAAATGGTACTTTGTCGGCAGCTCTTGGCAATTGAGCGCATCTAGCCGACGAGGAAGGCATCACCCACATGTACTACAAAAAAAAAAATTAAAATTAAAAATAATTAACGAAACGAAAAATAAATCGACCTTTTAAGGTTAAGGTACAAAATATTAAAAAAATATTCACCGTATTCGTGCCGTCGACAAAATCAGGTTGTCGTCCAAAATTAAAATCTTTATTACCGGAAAAAACTTCGTAAATGAGTTTACCATTAAAAACGGCTATTTTAGGTTTGAATTTTTGAAGTTTTTCCAGTAATATTTGACTCCCTATAAAAATATAATTTAATATAATTATTTTATGTAGTCTGCTAGCATAAAAAAAAAAAAAAATAAACCAAATTAAAACATTAAAATTTACCTTCTTTTATTTCTTTTCTAGTTAAATCCGCGCTACCTTTCGTAGCTCTTGCCACCATATTTGTAAAACCGATTCCAACGGACAATAATTTATAATCATCATCAGCCGTCATGGGCTCCGGAGTCAAACCTGACAGGTACAAACATTTCCCTTCGGAGAGGATGACAAAGAAAGAGAGAGAGAGAAAATTAAAATTCATTCAACGGCAAATATGTATGTAAAAAAAAAAATTTAAACTAATTAGCCATTTTTTTTTTTTTTTAAAGTTTTATTTCAGGCAAACATGCCATTTTCTTTCTTTTCATAACTTTTTTTTTTTTTTTTTTTGACTTTTTCGTGATGAATCATACAAATTAAAATAATTTTTGGTATGTGCGGGCGGCGTTGAGAGCGTACAAAGTTAAATTTACCACCCCAAATTTTAAATTTATCGTTAAAAAATTGCTTTTCTCCCCCCCCCCGCCTCTTCCCTCGTCCCCTGCGAATGTGTTGTGTTATCCATGTTCCAAACGTTTAAAACATGGCAGCAGGGGGGGGGGGGGGGGAGTAAGAGAAATTTTCGATCGAAAAATGCATGAAAAAAAAAAAAATTAATAAAAGCAAAAGCAAAAAAAACAATAATAATAATAAATTAGTTAATTCAAATTATTATTATTATTATTATTATTATTATTATTTTAAAAAGCATTTTAAATCACAAAAGTTAATGACGAATTTACTCCGGTAAACAATACAAAAAAAAAAAAATAATGATGATAATAAAGAATAGAAAAAAAAAATAGAAAAAGAGATAGAGTGAGAGAGAAAGAAAACAAGGAAAAAACATAAAAAAAAAAAGAAAAAGGCTTGCTTAAATTGATCAGGTAGCAGGTGGAAAATGAATTTCAATCGATAGCAACAAACAAACAAACAAACGAATAAACAAACAAATAAACGAGCGAGCAAGCAAGCAACGCTTTAAAAACATTCGAACCTATTAAATTTTAAATAAAATAAAATAAAATAAAAAAAAGGAAAATTAATTTTATGACGTCATCATCAACAACAACGCAAAACAATTCAAAATTAAAAAAATTAAATTTGACGAAGAGGGGCGTTGACGGGGGCGGGGGGCACGGGGAGGGGGCACAACGCATCATCACGAACATCCAATTTAACATTTAAAAAAAAAAAAAAAAATTATTTAATTAATAATTAATCATCTTACAGAAATGATTGCCTGGACCGGCATAATGATGTCCCTTGTAGGCAGCAAACAATCCAGGATTGATACCGATCTAATAAATGAAAAACTTACATATTAGTCATTAAATGTCAATCAATCAATCAATCAATCAATTTCATAATAATAATAATAATAATAATTAGTCCCGTCGTTTTTTTTTTTTTTTGCATTAGGGTAAAGACAAAAAAGAAAAACTAAGAAAAATATTTAAAAACCGATTTTAACCCCAAATATTTACACCTTCAAGGTTCGAAGTGGAAAATTTTATGTATCGGGGAGGGGGGCTGGGGGCTGTGGAGAGTGGGGGAAACCCAAAATTAGTATCAATCACAATGATGATGAAGAGAGTAAAATAAACCCCATAATAATTACTTTGTAATTAAAAACCCAAAAATTCAATTAAGGGGGGGGAGGAGAGAGGGGGATAAATAATAATTTCCCAAATGAAAAAACAAAAAAAAAAAAAATTTCAATTTAAATTTTGTTACGAGAGATCATCAATTATTAAATCATCATCATCATCATCATCATCACTTTCAAAA